AAATTTGGTTTCCTTCCCATGCTCTCATCATACAAAATGACAGGTAATTATTATGACTAGAAAACATCATTTGAGTATCACTCTGTGTTGGATATTTATGGTTACTGAGCGCATGCGTTATGAATTGCTAAGGCTGAAAACTACTATGGATGTTTTTTCATCACAATACTTTACAAATCTGTCCAGACAAATGCAGGAGTTATATTTGGCTTGGAAATAAGTTGAGAAAGAACTTTGTTAAGATTTCACAGAACTAGCTGAATAGAAAGATTTTAACAGAAAATCTCTTATAGTATTGCATGAAGTATAAATTTAATGTTGAAAGTGAAATCATTGGTATTGTGTTCTATTATCTTATGTTGTTCTTAATTTAAAAATCACAATGGACAAAACAGTCTTTAAATTTCTGAGTAAGGTTCTGTCTTAGTCAGTTTTCTCATTACTAAGATACAATACCCAACACCCATAATTAAAAGGATGAGAGGTTTATATTGGCTCACATTTCAGGATTTTCAGTTCAGGGATGGTCCATGGCATGGTAGAAGGGCAGAAAAACTGCTCAGGTCATGGCAAGCAGGAAACGGGAGAGAAGAAGAGAGGTCGTGAGGAGATACTGTACACTTTTCCAGGTCACACCCTAGCAACCTGTCTCCCTGAACTAGGTCCCACCTCCTAACAACAAGTTAGTTACAGTGCCTCCTCCATGGTCCACTTCTCTTACAAAAGCCCTGCCAATGAACCACTGAGGCTGTTGGGGGACATCTAGCTATAGACCCTAATAAGTTCCATGGCATCCTTTTAAAAATTATGTAATGGTATATTTTGCACATAGTAAAGGGTCAACATGTTCATTGGCTCAGTGCCCTTCTATGAGAGCTTGGAGATGAGGGAATATAAGGGATGTTTACAGTTAAATCTTCATTCTGTGGTCACAATGTGGTTGAAAATCTAGGTTTCTAAATTTGAATTACTACAACCCTTAGTTGAGGTGCCCCTACCTTTTTTCCCTAATGTCATCATCTCTTATGTTACAGCTTATATCTAGGAGTCTCCTGAGTTCACAGGTGGAGCTTTTGGGAGGTGTCTTACTGACCTGGGAACTCTCACTATCTTTGATTTTTCTTCACAGAATATCTCCCACTGGTTCATTCAGATCTGTTTACATGTTACCTCTTCAGGCCTTCCTGAAACACCCTGCTTTCTCTGTCACATCTCCAGATTTTATTTCCTTTTGAAATGTTAATTTTTCTTTCCATGAAAAAGTAAATTACCATCAGGTATGATTCTTTCATTGTTAAGAAGCTTTTAAAGATTTGCTTATGGAATCTGAAAATCAGATTGAAACAAGGTTATTTTACACAATTTTCCATTGTACATGTAAAGTATTTTATTGGTTTTGTAGATTCTCTTAGATTTTGAGGGCAGAACTGGAGAAAGAACATGTAAGAGAGTGGACCACTGATGCCCAGTGATAAAGGTGCAGGTGAATGCAATATCCGACATCATGACAGCTTTTCTACGGCGGGAACAGAGGGAAGGAGGTGGAGGTGGACATCTTGGAAGATAGGTTGGGCAGGGCAATGTGGAGAAGAGATAGGATGTCAGAATAACTCCCTTGCCTTGAGATCTTGCAGCCCAGAGCGCAACCACAGAAGCTCTAAATTAGTCAGGGACTTGAAATAGCCACTCCCTTCTCCATTTATAATAAACACAATAAATATCCCTTCTTCCTCTTTCCTGCCAAAGCAGCCCTTGTAGAAAGTAAGTGACTATAAATCCTATCTTAATGGGAGAGGAGCAAGGGTCTTTTTAGTGACAAGGAAAGAGAAAAAGAAAATATTTGTTCATTCTGTGTGAATATTTATAACAAGTATGTCCCAAGGATCACTTCCTCTTATGCTGTAACTAGTTATTTTTTTAAAAAAAAGCAAACTTCTAAAGGAACAGAGAGTTTTATTAGATTTTACTGGTAATGCAAAATGTCCTGTGGATATATTTTATTCCTTTAGTACATGGCAATTTGGGACAGATGATCTAACTTTTGGAGTTAAGTACAGCTTTTAAATTTTTCATCAAGCTCCTAAATTTCTGAACATATTAAATTAATAGAGTTATAAAATTATAAAATCCCTAAAGAGTCATTTAGGTTTATTATTAATAACAGCATATCTTTCAGGCCTGCTGTGAAGAAATGAGTGCAGAGAGCTTTGTGGGCAGGTTTTTAATTATAGTAAGATTATAGCAAAGATGCTTTAAAGATATTTTAGCATCTAAGATGACTTAGGTTAGCCTTCCTCACAGGATTACCCAAGCCTCCTTTAAAAAGTTTTCTTGAAGTATACATGTATCGTGTGTGTGTGTGTGTGTGTGTGTGTGTGTGTGTGTGTGTGTGTGAGAGAGACATAGGCATGCACACAACCACTGGCCTATGTCCCACTCCACAGTATATCTCAAGTAGTGCTTAAAACTTATTTCTGGGGCACATACTCTGTGCAGAGGGGTTCAGTGTTGACTTAACTGAAGGTATAGCTAATGCTGAAATGAGCTGAGGGAGATGCAGTTGAAAAATTTGGGAAGTGAATCAGTAATTTATTTTTCTGCATATAGTCTTTTTTCCTTTTGTCACATACGATTTAATTCAACAGTTGTCTTTGAGTAGTCATCATTACATCATACTCACCCCCATCTCAGTGGCCTTACGTTTGCTCTTCCCTTTGTCTGACCTTGATATCCACATGACTTTTTCCTTCAGCTTCTTCAGATATTTGTTACCTAGATCCTGTTCTAAAGTTGTAACCCTGACCTCTACTCACCCCTGCTCAGGATCTTGCTTCTTTTTTCCCCTCTTTAATAGTTATGATATTTGTGGTTTCCAGCCTCCAAGACAGCCCCCAAAGATTCTTATACCTTGGTAGTCATGCTTTTGGGTGGCTCTCTCTCACAATGAACAGGGCTGACTTACATAACTGTGATGGTTAATTTTACATGTCAATTTGACTGGGCTATAGGATATTTAGCTAGCTGTTAAAATTTAATTATCTGAGTGTCTCTCTGAAAGACATTAGCACTGGAATCAGCAAAACTGAGTGAAGAAAATCCACTCTTATCAATGGGCAGGCTTCATCTGTTAAGGATCCAGATGGAATAAAATGGCTGAGGAAGGTCAAACTAACTCTCTATTGAAGCTGAGACATCCGGCTCATTTATTTCTGGTTCTTAGATTTTCAGACTTAGATGAGAACTTGTACTATCACCCCATACTGTCTTCCATTCTCAGACCTTCATACTAAGACTAAATTATACCATTGACTGGTTCTTCAGCCTGCAGATGGCAGAGCATATATTTATTTGTTGTTTGTACTTCTTTATCTGAGAAACATCTGTTCATTTCCAATGCCCATTTTTGAATAGGGTCTTTGAATTGGAGGGGGGTCTGATTTTCTAAGTTCTTTATATATTCTAGATATTAGTCCTTTGAGAGGTAGCTGGTAAAAATTTTTTCCTAGTCTGGGTTGTCATTTCACTCTATTGGTTTTTTTGCTGGGCAAGAGCTTTTTAACTTGATGTAATCTCAGCTGTTGATACTTTGTAGTATTTCCTATTCCATTGGGGATTTGTTCATTTTGCTGATGATAACATGGGTGTTTCAAGAAAATTGTGTATTTATGGCTTGTGCATTGTATGTTGTATTTCAATAAAATGTATACTTTTTATAAAGTACACTAGTAAAGGTATTAGAACTGAAAGCAAGGTCAATTCAGTTATATTTTAGGATTGAAGAAATTTAGCATGCTTTAAGAAGGAAAGGAACCTGTAGGAAAGTATTTGAAAATAATAAGAGGATACATTAAGCTATATATAGATGAAAAAGAGGATTCATTTTAAGTCTCTATTAAGAGCTACCTGACGTGTGGGGATCCAAAAATTAATAAAACTCAGTCCTTATTTTTAGTCAGTCCCTGTGCAGGGAAGAAGAGACAGAGAATGATTATGGTTGATAAAAGGTACATATTTTGAGCACTTTCCTTATATTATATATTGTACTATGCAAATTTGCAGCATCTAATGTTAACAATTCAGCAAGGTAGATATTTATTTTCCTGTGAAAACATAAGCAATAAGAAAAGCCGCCCAAGATCTCCTTATGTGATAAAACCCCAACTCTGAGCTGACTTCAAAAACTTGTTCGTTTTAGTACTTTACACTGCCACTGGATGGTGGGTTACAAGAGAAAGGACTCTGTGGTGAAAGTTGAAATAAATTTCAGTGGAGCTATCTTGGAGAAGGCGGACTAGACAAATGGTCTAGATCTCAAAGGATGAGTATAGAACAGTGTTTGATATCCTGGAGGTGGACTTAAAGAAATTTAAAGTCTTCCTTGAATAAGTTCCAGACTTCCAAAGATGGTAGCAGAAGAGCAGAGTCAACTGTACTATGGCTGAGTGTTTTTTCAGGAAGGGGATCAAAGTGTGTAGTGATGCTGTTGCAGAAGAAATGTTAAGAAGGCCTGAAAACAAGGCACTTAGCTGAAAGTTTCCACTGGCTGAAAGGGTCTAGATAGAGCTGTCATATGCACTCAGACGGAAATTGAGAAATAAACTTCTATCTCAGTAAGTCACTGAATTGAGATCACTCATGTATTAACTGGTACATGCATCATCCCAGAACATCTTGACTAGTTTATCTACTAAATATGGTAACATGAGGCCAGGGAAAGCTTGCACTTGCATGTTGAGATAATTTTAAGTAGCTGGTTCCCATTAGTTAGGTTATTGGTCCAGTTGATACATGAGTGCTTTGAATTAACAATAACTTACCAAGATTGATGTTTACTTTTCTCTCAGTTAACCATCTGAGTGCATGTGACAGCTCCACCTAGATTTATCCATCTCATTGTTTTGTTACTCCTAGGGTATTTCCTTTGGCCACATGAAGGTAGGTGGGTAATTTAGAGTAGCCAGTGGGAAGGAGAAAATATGGTATGAGCAGCACACGCCTACCTTTGAAACGAAGACTGTGTGTAGAACATTTCACTGCTGCTCACTCATCCTTATCCAGAAGTTGGGGCTGGGGATTTAGCTCAGTGGCACAGCGCCTGCCTAGCAAGCGTGAGGTCGTGAGTTCAATTCCCGGGACCGGAAAAAAAAAACAAAAACAAAAAAGGTGAACCAAAAGCTATCAAAGAGTGAGAAATCTCTCTTGGTGACCTTGTACTCTGTGTTGTAAGAAGCTAAGGTCAAGTACTGGGAACATGAATAGTGCCTGCCATGTTCTGAGCTCAACAAAATCAAGACTGTTGATTTAATTTAGATTAACATGACTGGTTGGTAAATTCTGATCTTTGTAGTAGGGCTTGCTCCTATTCCTATTAAAATTGTATGAATAAAGGATGTAAGAGGGGTAGGAGTATAGGTTGGTGGTAGTGCTTGCCTAGTGTGTGTGAGGCCTTGTGTTTGATTCCCAGCGCTAAAAAGTAAGAATAAGAAATAAAACCATGTAAGTAAAATCTTAAGTGATTTTAAAATAAACCTAAGAAAATATGGAAGCTTAATGCTTTGTGCTCCTTTACTTACTAGAATTAAATAAAATCCGCTTCTCTTTCCTCCATTTTGGCAAGTGAAATCAAGCTCATACTTTTCCTTGCAAGGCTAACTAACGGCATTCTAGAGCCTAGGCTTAAGGATGTACATTTTGATAATGAACAAGAGACCAAGGTAGAGATGAAGGAGATGCCCTTCTCTACCTTGCAACAACAGTAGAAAAGTATGGCTGTGTTTCATAGAACTCATTCAAAGAATCGTCTCTGATAAGGTATTAAATTAAGAACATTCATAAGAACATCAATCTTGTCCTGTGAAATATTAAAATTTATATGAATATTTATAATTTAGCCACTTGTTTTCTATTTTTGGAGGTATAATTGGAACAAGAGTTTTATAAAGCTCTTAAGACTTTTGAAATTATTACATTCTGCAGAGATAACATTCAAAGAGAAGTCTGTAGTTCTGACTAGTTGTCTTCTTTGATAGTTTGTTAATAATGCTGTAATAATATAATAATGCACGTTTGAACTGCAGAACAATCTGAAGACTTGAAACTTTGCTCCGTCAAGCTAGAAAAGAATCCTTGGTACATTTTTTCCCTACATGTGAAATGGGGAATTTCTATTACAGTGGTTGCTTTCTTATTTTAACAAAGATTTAACAAGGGAAATTATGTGTATGAAAATTTAATATCTAATATCTTCAGGAATTCATGTACATATTCTCAGATTTAACAGTGTTTCTCTTTTTCCACATAGGCTGCCCTTCATCTACCTGGGTTCAGTTCCAAGACAGCTGTTACATTTTTCTTCAAGAAGCTGTTAAGGTAGAAAGCATAGAGGATGTCAGAAGTCAGTGTACTGGTCATGGTAAGGGGCTCCGTTCCATGAATTGGTAGTATTTATTTAAAATAGATTTGTCTTATTTCACTTTTAACTGGATTTTTAGAATGAACGTACAACTTTTATGACACACAACCACAATTTCTGGGAAATACCTTTCAAAGTAGTGACAGAACCTTAGCAACATGTCTATTTAATGTGTGTATCTTTGCTCGGCACTGTGTTTAAGCACTTCACATTTTACCTGTAAAGCAGGTCACCTTTAATCAAGAGAAGAAATTTATTCATTTTTTTATGCAAGGTCACATAGGCAGGCAGAGCCACGATCTAAGTCTCACCTGCTTGTTCCCTTTTTCCTTGAATCTATTGTGGTCTTTGTGACTTGCTTTGACCAATTAAACGCAGCTCATGTGACATCCTCAAGTATCTGAGGCCCAGACTTTAAGAGGACTAGCAGACTCTTTGGGAAACCAAGAGAAGAAAGTGATTCAAAGATGAATGGGTTACCAGTTGCGTCAGATGGTGTTGACAAATAGGACAAGAGCCAGGAACTGATTATTAGATACAGTAATGTCACTGTCATTCATAATTTGTATTGTAGAAATCTCTGTGGGATGTTTGGTACAAAATCTAGACCCAAGTTAATTTAAGAAGAAAATATGAAGAAAGAAATTGGGCGAAAATGAGTACAAATAACGTTCATCTCTTGCAGAAAAACCAAGAGCCACAGAACAGTAACAAGAGGAGGAGGATGGTATAGGGAAACAGCAATTTGTTTTTAAACTGGCACAAAGAGCATTGACATATCTAAATCTGGAATATAATTCTTAGGTTTAACCCAACAATTTAAAGAGAGTATAGATTCATTGTAAAAACAGGACTCTTAAAAACAAAGTTAATGCTTGGCACATAGTATCTTTGCAAATTACCTGCTTTTGATATTGGTTTGTTGAAACAGGGTCTCCCCATATAGCTCAGGCAGGCCTTAAACTTGCAATCCTCCTATGTCAGCCTCCCAGTTCTTGGGATTACAGGTGTGCACCACATAACCCTGCAATCCCCCTTGTATTTCAGTTTCATAATCTGTAACATGTTATGATTACCAATTTATAGAGTAAAAACAAAATACATATCGGTCTCTTAAGACTAGGATAAAGATTCTTCATCATTGTTATTCTACCAGCTGTTTTTTGCATGCAGTGAACAAAAGTAAGATTATATAAGCCCACAAAGTGAGACTATAATAATGAAGAATAGGATAAAAAAGATCTCTGCTGGAGCATACCCTTTATATTCTCTGGAAATAGTTTTATAATTGCACATCGTGAAATATTTAAAAGTTAAAAACATTTATGTATTTTTGAACTAGGGTCTCATTGTATGGTCTAGGCTGGTCTTGAAGCCCTGAGCTCAAGTGATCCTCCCATCTCAGCCTCCTGAGTAGCTGATACTACAGACATGCATCCCTATGCCCAGCAAAATGTCATTTAAATTTTTAAAAATGTTTTTTGAGGCAGAGACCTTTCCTGTATTGCCCGGGCTATTCTCAAACTTGAGGTTTTCTGCCTCAGCTTCCCCAACTGCTGGGACTGCAGGATCACACCTCCACACCTGGCAAAATTTTTTTCTGCTAAGGACTTCCTGGCAGGACTTCACATATGCAAAGCACATGTTCCACTATTAAGCTACATACCCAGGCCCCCTTTTTATTTATTTATTTTTTATTTTAAAGAGAAAAAGACAATAACAAAATAACAACATAGACAAAAACAAAAAAACCAAAAACAATATAGCTATTCTGAAAGGGAAAGAAACTGCTCAAAGGAAGGAACAAGTGGGATGAAGGAAAGGAGAAAAAGAAAGAAGGAATAGAAAAAATAGAAAGAAGGAGAGAGAGAGAAAAAAGAGAGAGAGAGAAGGATAGCTGGGATAACTGTATTGCTGATGTCTAATGGTTTATTGAAAGGAACAGTTAATGCTTAAATTTTTTTTGACCAATTTAGTATGCTTATATCTGATAATCTGAACAATTAAATGAGACAAGAAGATGCAATATAATAACTGGTGATTCCTACCATCTTGTTTAGTGAAGCTCTGTATTATTTCTAATTTTTTATTATTTTTTATTCTCTTTAATGGTTTGATCAATCTTGCATTCTTACATCTTGTAATCAGGCCTCCTTTTTAAAAGGTGTGCTTGGATTGAATGCAATTTATGTATTTGGCTCTTTGGCCTGAAGTACATGCTTTTGTTTAGCCTCTAATTGTGATGTAATTTTCCTCTAACTAAAACTACGGGGTGAGTTCACAACTTTTTCAATTGAAATATATAAGCTGGTGACATGCAGAGTCCTCAGTTCAAGGGAAGGGTACTTTTTAAGAGACTGGAGTCTCTCTTTCATTTCATTAGATTTTTTTCTTAGGTATATTCACAAGTCCAGCATTTAGAAATATCCTTTACCTAAAAAAAAAAAAAAAAATCATTTCTGACAACCCACCAATATAAAGACTATCAAATCTTGTATATAATATTGTTATACTAGAGATACTTTAATTAAAATCATATTTAATTGTAGAAGAAATAAATGGAAACAAATTTTTAATTCTACTACAGTTCTAATACAAAGTTTCTAATGCTTATTATTTTCCTTTCAAAAATTCTTAACTACTAAATGGTGAATATTAGCTTAGGAAAAAAAAAGAAAATTTGATATAGCAAGATAGTTTTGTTTCAAGTCACTTGAAAAAAACAATAGCAATTTGGCTTGTCTAGCAAGATTTGTTAAAGTGAAGTTTCCTCTATAATTATTTTCTATTTTTTAAAAAAATTTACTGTGTGTTAGTTATACTTATTTCAATAATAAAAATTATATTGGAGGCTGACAACCAAAAAAAGACTTGTTCCTATATTTATATAACTTACATGAACCACAAGATCAAAGTTTACGGTGCAGCTTTGTTTCAATTAAACAACTATTACATACAGAAGGAAAAACTAATACTTGATTCAAATTAGCTACTTCAACAAAGCAAAAGTAAACTAAAAACACTAAGCAACTCTGTGGCCTGAATTTTGAGTGCTTGTTTGGAAATGCATTAGCACTATTTGTTGAAGGAGAAATTTTAAATTACATACACAAATTGTTCATGAAATTTGTTTTGTACCTAAAAACAATGCTGCCTTTTCCTGGGCTGAAATTTATAAATTTAGGGACTAGAGCTGTAGCTCAATGGTAGAAAGGCACAAAGTCATAGGTTCAATTCCCAGCATGAGAAAAATTTAGACTGTCTTATTTATTGTATTTTCTGTTGAACACAGGGAGTAGTGAGTTACATTCCCGGCCCCTTTTCATTTTTATACTTTGAGACAGGATCTCAACTGCCCAGATTGGCCTCGAACTTGAAATCCCCCTACCTTCATCTCCCAAATGGCTGGGATTTACATGCAGGATTTATAGTCACCATGCCTGGGTTCTAATGTGATTTTTTGTAGTTCCTCATACATTTTTAATAATCCATTTATTTGATTATCCTGTATATTTACTTCCACTCTCAAAACATCCATTTCATAGATCAATCAGAAAACTAGCTAAATTACTTATTTTGGGCTAGGGTAGTTGTTATGGTTGATATGTTGTGTCAACTTGGGGAGTCTAGAAGTTTGGCTAAGTGACTTAGCAGTTCTACATCCTGTCTGCTGGGGTGCAAAGGACATGCCCTTCCTGCTCTAGGACGTTGTT